CTTTCTTTCTTTCTTTCTTTCTTTCTTTCTTTCTTTCTTTCTTTCTTTCTTTCTTTCTTTCTTTCTCTCTCTCTCTCTCTCTCTCTCTCTCTCTCTATTTCTTTCTGAGACACGGTTTCTCTGTGTAGCTTTGGCTGTGCTGAACTCACTCTAAACAAGGCTGACCTTAAACTCACAGAAATCTGCCTGCCTCTGTCTTTGTGGGCCCCCTCACCATGCTGGGATTACAGGTGTGTGCCACAGAGCCTGACTAATTTTGTCAGCTTTTAAAAGATAAAATCCTGCAAAATATACTGGGCTAGGAGATGGCAAGTATTGTATCATTCTAATTACTGCCTTTACAAGCTCCGATGATAGTAGCATCATGTATGCAAATGCAAATGCTTTAAGGAAGAAACATACAGTGAGTCACTCACAGGGCCTAAGCCATGTCTAGCACAGCTCATATCATTCACAAATGTTTTCCTGTCTTCTCCACTGTTTCAGGTATGCAATTGGTATTGCCTACAAATCAGCTCCAAAGAATGAATGGATTGGCAAAAATGCCTCTTCCTGGGTCTTCTCTCGATGCAATAGTAACTTCGTGGTGAGACATAACAACAAGGAAATGCTGGTGGATGTGCCCCCACAGTTGAAGCGTCTAGGTGTCCTTTTGGATTATGACAACAACATGCTGTCTTTCTATGACCCCGCTAACTCTCTCCATCTTCATACTTTTGATGTGACCTTCATTCTTCCAGTTTGTCCAACATTTACAATCTGGAACAAATCCCTAATGATCCTGTCTGGTTTGCCTGCCCCAGATTTTATTGATTATCCTGAGCGACAGGAGTGCAATTGTAGGCCTCAAGAATCCCCTTATGTGTCTGGGATGAAAGCTTGCCATTAAGTGTCAAGAGAGCATGTAATATAGTGGCTCTCCACTTCAGCACTTCTTCCCCTCCTAAGCCTCAACTAGTGTTCCATATATGAGATACAGGATAAAGTTCATTGGAAGCACCCTAAAGAAAACCTAGATATTGTATATTTAATTTTTGTGCATTAAAGATTATGTTTGAATCCATGTATTGAGTTACTCAGAACAAATGATCTGAATAGTCTGGGTTCATGCCATCAGGGAAGAATTTTAGAGGATATCACTCTCATCATTGGAGAATTTAAAATTCCCAGTGATTTGGGAGCATAAGTGATCCTGGAAGGAATTAGCATTTCTAGCAGTGGCTAGTTTGGCAAGGTATAATTTGCACAGTGTCAAGTTATCACATATTGTGTGTCACTTTTTAATACACTAACAATCAAGATATTATAAGAATATCATACATGTACATATATAATATATAAAATGACTAAATTCAATTATGAGTAAAATGACATAAATCATTTTATCTATTACATGTATACAATAAACCCTAATTTGCCAATTTAAATGAGAAATATATTGAAAAAAATGAATTACACTGTCCATTCTTCTCCCCCAGATGAAATATCACAGGTGGTGGGCATTTTTCTCTTCTTTCCTTCTAGCCTTTCTTTCTTCCCTCTTGTCACATATACAAATACATGGGATCAAGACACAGGAAATGAGAATAGACCTTGGAGAGATCTGGGGCCAGGACAGCAAAAGAGATGTTAATGCTACATAGAAATGCCTTGTGTAGCATAATTTCATTGATATTGCTTAATGTGAAGATTCATCAGAATTATTAAAAATTGTCACAGGATATTTCAAAGAAATATATTTTTGTTATTCTCAGATACATAGTGACTAAACTTAGGCTTAAAAATAATGGATTTCTTTAGAACTGGTCTGACGTGGACAGTAAGAATGGAGTGTTACGGGTTCAACAACTACAAGCATACAAATGCACTTGTATTTTCAGATGATGCACTCCTGAAATGCTATTTTCCCGATAAGTTCAATACTCATTATTTTTTTTGTGATTTTTGTTTACACTCTTCATTCACTTAGCATCCCCTTCATGACAAAGAAAAACATAAATTCCATCCTAGTTTTCATCAGGCTAGCTAAACGAAATTGAGCACAGTTTGGGATTTCACCAGTTTTTTTTTTTTCAAAGTTTGAGTAGAAATGCCAGAGAAATAGAGCCTTCTTTAAGGAGCAAAGTCTACTCCTTGGTAGTTGTAAAATGATTACTACCATGTAATCGTTAAGTGCAAGTAGTAGCCATTCCCTGGATTGTATGTAGCCTTGATGCAGTGTCAAACATTAGCCCCTCTTTCCACCAGCATGGTGGATTCTTATTTATTAATTTGCTCAGTGAACTATTAGATGCCACACTACTGCTGTACATATTACTAATATGCATCCCTTGCTCTCAAATGACTCACTATTATGCACAAAAGTAAACATATCTCTGTAAATCCCACCTAATAACATTTGTGGGTTGTTTGCTTATCTACCACAAAAAGAAAGACCAGCGCCAATACAAAAGGAAAGCTCAGGCTTACGTGTCAGGTGGCAAAGTCAATTTCTTTGGTTTTAAAGTTGGTATGTATCTTACAGCTCATCAGGGAATGAGCAACCTCAGTAGAATTCAACATTGCTGGTGACTAGCTTGTGGTATGATAAAGCTCCCAGCCTTGAGATTGAAATAGTTCTAGCTTCTTTGCCACTTAACTAGCAGTGTGATCTCAGGAAAGCACTTGTCCGAGCCTGTTTCCTCTTCTGTAAAATGATCCCCATTTTATAAGGCTGGTGCAAAAGTTTAAAATTGTAGTGTGTATCAGCTGCCTAGCAAGCACCTGGCATTCACTATGTGTGCCACAATTGTTCATCTCTTCCTCAATCCATTCATTTTTGTGTTCTTTAAGTTTTAGTTCTGGGAACAGAGCTTTATTCCCTGTTTTACTTTTAATTGTAGCCTAGACTATTTTTTTTCCTCATCTCTTCTTCTCTCAGTTAACTAATGATCTCTGAAACTGGCTTATGTGGCCCTCTGTGGCACTCCCCTGACACACTGAGCAGGCCCGCAGCAATAATTACATCATATGGTAGTATTTCTTAGAATGCCATTTTTAAAATGCCATCCTCTGAAGACTCATTTGTAGAACCATCCTTAGTGATTTGTTCCTTAAACAATTGATTCTTGACCCCCATTCCCGAGGTATTTAGAATATCTGGGAACTAAAGAAACTTATATTTGGGACAAGCTTCTCAGGTTATTCTGATCCGTGCAAAAGTTCAATGTATAATAATTATCTTCCCTACTAGAGTGGGACTACCTTGAGGGTAAAGACTGTGGCTTTTATTGTTGTATTTTAAATACCCAGTACAGTGTCTGGAACAAAGTAGTTGCCTGGCTAATGTTTGTTGAAAGAATATATGAATGAACAAATGAATAATCAAAATTGTTCTGTTTACTGTGATATCCATTAGTGCTATTTGCTATTCCTGGGCAAGTTTGTTACTTATTTAGACTGTATTGACATTATTTTGTAAATGTACTAGGGATTATACATACAAAATGAACATTGTTCCAAATTGGCAGTTATCCTAGAGAATTGTCTTTGGAGCATGTGGTATACCATTCTCCCAATAACATTTCATGTTTTCATGAACATCAATGAACTTTGTTCTTTGAGGGTAGATTTAAGTTTTCATTATGGACAGAGTTAAGCCTACTGAATAAACTGAGAAATTAAATAGGGTTTGTGGGAAGCAATGAAGCTTGATTCTGAAATCCCAACTTCTGAGGAACATAATGAAATGCCTTCCAAGAAACAACATGATGGCAAATCACTCAGAGGGCTATGGCCATTTCCAGATATTTACTTCAATAAACTTAAGACTTTCATAGAACACTGGCAATGGCAGGGGCCAGAGGCTACCTCTAGCTAAAGCCAGCTGCACAAATGGAACGTGACCATTTAACATTATCAAGAAAGGTAATCCATAAAAGTGGTTGTTGTTGTTTTACTTGATGATCTAAGTATTCAGAACTTTTTTCCTAGAAAATTATTTTCTGTCTGCAATTTATGCTTGTTTCCACTTTTTATATTGTCTTATTGAAGAAAGCACAAAATAAAGCTAAGCTTGTTTTAAGAATAAAAAAAATAATAATGCCACATTGACATTCTTGCTACTTGTAAGAGTAACTGCATCTGTCTGTGTTTTTATTATGTAATCCCATTGTGTGTCTTTGGATGCAGTGAAGTTCATATTGCAACAAAATCACTTATACATGCTTTTCAAGTCAAACATTCTAAGGTGAATTCCCTCAGCTTCCATGCTTTACATATTTGTATATGAGTACCTGGATGGATCAATTTATTGATGTATTTTTGAAAAAGTTCAAATGCTGAAACCCCTTCTCTCAAGGAATGGAAAATGTGAGGCAGGTAGACATGAAGCACTCCCACACTTATTTGTAGCTCCTGAAGCCAATCCAGCCTCAGAGCCATTGGGCTGTATTTGGCTGTGTATTACAAGTTGGCCAGATTTATTGCCATCAGGTCAGGCAAAACTGCCTTTGATGGTGTAGTCTGCCAGCTTCATAAATATGCTGTGTTATTGTTATTGGCTAGAATATTTATTAGACTATTGTTGGACTATTTTTTATCAAAGCTTTACCCCAGGCTTGTTTGTACTGGGCTAATAGTGTCTCTCCTAGTAACAGAAATATGAGCATCTGTGGATTACACAGTCTCACCCTCCTCTAAAGATTCCAACCCATCCAAAATGCTATATTATGAATTAAATAAATATATATGTATTCATGAGTTGGTGACTGTCTCTTTTTGGAATTTAATTGGAAAAGACTAAATGGAAGATGAGTTGCCAGAATTGGGGAAGTGACTGGGGGAGGGAGGAAGTGTATGTACAATAATCATGAAATTGGTAGAGATCTTAGCAGCTGAAGTTCTAGGAGGTCTTAAATTTTAGGACCAATCATGAAGGATTTGATTTTAAAAGGATAGAGTCAAAAAAATCTAATGAAATGAAGGTCCAAGGTTCAAAGGTTCATGATTCATCTAACTTCAGCTGTTGTGGAAGAAGGCAAGAATTAAACAATGATTAACGTCCCATTGCTAGAATTCATTCGTTAAGACCAGAACATGATCACAATTAAGTGAGCTGACTAATTTACTGTTAAACATCTGGCCTGTAGGAGGAGCCTGGGAGGGTCAAAAGGTTACGCAGGCCTGGATTGGATATTATTTTGTCTGTGTCCCATTTAAAAAATTTTATATTAGTTTATTTACTTTACATCCAGAGGGTGCCACCTCCCTCTCCTTCTCCCAGGCCCTCCCATTTCCCTTTCTTCCTCCTTCCCCTTTTCCTTTCCCCCCAGAAAAGGGGAGCTCCCTCTCTCCATATCAACCCTCCCCAGCACTTCAAGTCACATCAGGACTGCACAAATCTTCATCCTCTCAGGCAAAGCAAGACAGTGCTGCCAGGGGAAAGTGATCCAAAAGCATGCAAAAGAGTCCATGTTAGAAACACTTCCCTCCACTCATTAGGCGACCCATATGAATAGCCGATGAATACATCGGCTACATGTGTGCAGGGGCCTAGGTCCAGATCATCATGCCTCTTCCTTGGTTGATGTCTCAGTCTCTGAAACCCCCATGTGACTGGGTTAGTTGTATCTGTTGGCCTTCTTATGAGGTTCCTGTCCCCTCCAGGTCCTTCCATCTTTTCCCCAACACTTCCACAGGACCTGCAGAGATCTGCTCCATGCTTGCCTGCAAATCCCAGCATCTGTCTCGATCTGCTGTTGGCTGAAGCCACCCAGACAACAGTCTAGGGATAATTCATTTCATAATTCATTGGTAACACAGTAAGGAGAGCAAAATTTGAATTTTCAGCTTTTAAAGGGTCAGCTGAAGCCAGATGTGGTAGTGTATGCCTGTCATCTCAGTACTTGCAAGGAAGAGGCTGGAGAATCAGGAGCTTAAGACTAGTCTGTGCTATGTAGGAAGCTTGCAAAAAAAAAAAAGTAAATAATCAATTTATCAGCTGGCAATGTGGTGACAGGCTTATAGTAGACATATTGTAGAGCACAGGTGATCTTTTAGAGGATGGAATAGCGATGCAAACTCTGATGCCTATGATGCTGGCCTCTTAATGCTGCAGAGGGGACTTGCTACTTGTCCAGCTGGATTAGGAAACCCAGAAAATGGAACTTATCCTCTGATGCAAACTATCAGTAAACAACCATTATAATTTACATCCTTTTGTTCAGCTCAGCTCCTTTAGGGATAAAAGGAGGTCCTGGAATATACTGGCAATGTGAACTTTATAGCAAACAGCTGTCTAATACACAAAGAAAGAGACTAAGTTCAATGCCTGACAGCTGGGGGTTAGTATGATGCTTGTATTTGATGCTAACTACTGGCCCTCAAGATCTGCTTACTATCTGGATACACTTACACCTATCTTTCTTGTGTAAATGTCTTGTGCCTAAGACATTATACCTAATTGGTTGATTAAAAGGCCTAAACTTGGGTAGGGCATAATGGGGTAGGAATGGCTAAGGTTCCTGTGCTTTGGGAAGAGGAGAAACACAGAAAGAACACAGATGGACAGGAAGAGAGGAGGAAGGAGGATGACACAGTGGGTTAGCATGAAGATGGAGGACAATACAATTGGTTAGCATGGAGAAGGAATCATGTGGGCTGGGAGGAAGGACTCCACTAATATTGTGGAAAGGCCCAGATGTAGGATACAAGCAAGTATTGATAAGGTTGTGGATGGAAGGTAGCCCAGATAAGGATGGTTAAGGAGGATGGCACTGATGGGGGGCTGGGAGGTTGATGGTGAGGTTATTGAGACAGGGTAGGTAAAATATCTGCCCAGTCCAAGATAAACAAGGCAATTATAAAATTTAACAATGTCTGTGCCTTGTTAATTGTGATAGCATGTTAAATAATACCACCACAATAAGTATAGTGCTAATAGTAATAAACATTATAAGCCCAACACCATTTTACTTACTACAACATCTGACTGATACAGTGGTGATGATACAATGAATTGCTTTAGATTCAGTGAAAGAAAAACAACAACAACAACAACAACAACAACAACAGGCAAAAGTATAGTTTCTGGTTGTCCTTGTCCCAAATACCCAAGAAGAATTCTCTGCTCCCAAAAGGCTTGAAGACTGATGTGTATGTTGGAGAATGTTCCATTCTTCAGACACTAAGTGTACTTACACTATGAGCTGGCTTTACATTCTAGGATCTATTCTGAGGAAAATGTTTAGAAAGCCTTGGGTATCATCAAAATCCACATGACTGGAAACAAAATGAACTGGACTGATGACAGCTTTCTTATGGAGAAATAAGGAGGCAAATGCAATATAGATGTGAAGCACTTGCTCTCAGCCTCCTCTCCTACTGTGTTCTGGGAAAAAGAATAATAGGAATTCTTCTAAGACTCAGAATAGCTGTGTCTCAAGTTTGACTGCAAGACCTACTTGAATAGTGCAGGGAATGCCACAATGATGGAATAAAACCCTTCTATAAAGATCTTGATTTTCCTTTAGGTGGGAGACATAGGATACAAAAGGAAGTAAATGCAGGGTCTGCTGAAGAATTTTTGTTCTCCTTCTCTTCTGCTGATCTTCACACATGTCCTTTTATCATTACCAGTTTTTATAGAACAGCAGGGATTGCACTGAGCACTGAAGAGACTGTCTAAATATGCCAAAATCGAGTCCTGAAATATTCAGTTCCAAGGCCAGAGAATCATGGGGGCCAAATGTTCTGTCCTCCTAGGTTTTCAACTATAAATTGCATTGCATGAATATTTACCTACCTACATTATCTATATGTGTATCTACCTATTCATATCTATTCATCCATCAAGCTATCTATCTTTGTGTCTGTGTCTCTCTGTGTGTGTATGTGAGGTGGTGGTGGTGGGGGGATAAAAGTGCCTGTGGAGGACAGAAGACAGTGTCCTTGGAACTGGAATTCCAGGCTATTGTGAGCTGCCTGATGTGTGTGCTGGACACTGAACACTGCACCTCTGGAAGAGCAGCAAGCATTTTTAACAGAGGAATCTCTCCAGCTTCTGCATGAATAATTTTCAAAAAAAAATTGTTATCACAGTTTATTTATGTGTGTGTGTTGTGTACTTGTGCCATGGAGTATATGTGGGAGTCAGAGGACAAGTTGCAGGAGTCTGTTCTTTCCTTCTACCATTTGAATCCCACGGACTAAAAGTCAGGTCCTCAGGTTTTCTGACAAACAACTTTACCCATTAAGCCATCTTGCCTGCCCATGGACAAATTTTTATTTTTAGGCAATGTATCACCATCTAGGCCAGGCTTAGCTCAAACTCATGAGTCTCCTGACTTAGTCTCCCCAAGTGTTGATATTACAGGTGTGTGTCACCATGTCTGGCTTTGTACAGGTTATTTCAAGGTCTCTTCTTGTGTTAACAGTATGGATTTACATGAATGAAAATTTAGTGATTATAATTATGTAAGTGTAATTGGCATACCTACCACCAAGAATGCTGGGATATGAGGATACAATCATCAAGAACACTTTATATTCAACATAGAGGTAGATAGTGTTACTGTTACTTCATGAGCACCCTATTTTTTTTAAGGTAGTAATCCTTCACACATATTTTATTTCACTCAGAGCACTTCCTTCCTCAGCTGTTTGCACAGATTTTTTATTTTTTTTTTTTGCTGTTTTTGTTGTTTGTAGACAGTCTTGCTGAATACCCCAGGGTGGTTTAGAATTCTCCAATTGCTTGCCTCAGCCTTTCAGAGTGATGGAATTACAGGGATGTATCCTCAAGCCTGGCTATTTGTGTCATTGTTTTTGAGATTTCCTGTTTGACCTCTTCTTCCATCCTTCTTTACTCACTAACTGTACAGGATACAAATACTGGCCTAGCATAACTGCACTTTAAATTTCAGATCAACCGTTTGAAAGATTTCCAGATAACCATATAAGAAATTGCCAAGCTGGGCCCAGTTGTACAGGCCTGTAATCCCAGCATTCAGGGAGGCAGAGGCAGGCAGATCTCTGTGAGTTTGAAGCCAGCCTGGTGTACAAAGGGAGTCCAGGAGAGCCAGGGCTACACAGAGAAACCTTTTCTCAAAAACAAAACAGAGCAAACAAATAAACAACAAAAAAGAAATTGCCAAAGGTATTCCAGGTCCTAAGGGCAGAGGAAGTTATTTGGTAGAACAACCTACCTGTCCTGTGTACTACCTCCCTCTACGTTGACTTTTCACTGAACTCCTATAAGTATATTTCTGACATGGCAGAGGTGAGAGTCTTGGTCTAGCCATGAGTTTAAGTTATTGTTCACATCATTCATTCATTCATTCATTCATTCATTCATTCATTCATTCATTCATTCGTCTGTTCACCAAATCATGTGTGCCAGATACCATGCTAAGCACTTGAGATGTGGTAGCTCATTCAATCCATCCAGTAATCATGTGACAAAAAGATCATTAAGGCTTCCCTAGAACAGGAAAGTCCTGGACCCAGGTCAGCAGATTCCTGCCTTATCAACTGCCTGCAAGGGTTTTAGCAGTACTACTCCTAGTATGGGGTAATAAAGTTTAAAGCCCAACATTGAGAAAATGGTCTAGTCCATTTGCTTTTGGAATCCTGATAGCATTGAAGGATTTCCAGATAGTCAAAAGACACTTTGGATCAAAACAGCCCTAGGCAGTTTTCCTACTCTCTGACTCCTCCCTTTCCTTCCCTCTAGGCAGTGCCTTCTCAAATTTCTATCCAGGCACCTCCCTCTGGACCGCCTCTTTTTCCAAGTCAATTTCCCTTTCCCCGCCTCCAAGGCCGTGGCTCTCAGGAGGCAACTTCAAGCTGGTGCCAGGAAGTGAATGAGCAAATTGGCTTTGCAATTCTGGTGAGTGCTTTCTTGGGGAGGTTGAGGAATGAGATCCCACTCCTACCCCCGACTCCCGGTTCCCTGGATTCAAACAGGCTGGAAGTAGAGTAAGAGATCACTGCTAGCGACTCCAAGTCACGAGGGCCCTGGCTTCTGTGAGAGGTGACCTCTCTCTAACCTTGGGACTCAAAAAAAAAAAAAAAAAAAAAAAAAAACTCTCTAGGCCAGGAGTGGTGTGCGTGAGCAGGACCTCATGGTCTTTGGAGCAGGAGGACAGGTAGGCCAGCCTCAAAAGTTTGCTGTTGGTAGGGAGGAAAAAAAGGTTCTCAGCAGGTGTGTGTGTGTGTGTGTGTGTGTGTGTGTGTGTGTGTGTAGGGGGGTGGTGGGTGGTGGTGGGAATACATGTGTGATGGGTGCAGATGAATGCATGTGGGGAGGCGCTGTTAGGTGGAGCCTACCAGAAGTGACTACTAAGAGCCAGTTTATTGAAAGCTGGGACTACATACACCCAGGTATTCCATACTTAAGTGTAGCCTCGAGCATTTAGAGCAGGGAGCTTTTTAGGGCAAAAACCACATCCTGGCATTGGCTGCAGAGTGAGATCTGTACAAGTAAGCAGTTTAACCGAAGCTAAGATATGTTTTAGGGTGTCTGGGCCTTGGGTTCTGGAATAGATTTGGGTGATTTTCCATAGGATTCTCCATCAAGGAGATCAAAATACTGTTAAGCCTGAAATGGCCTCAGCAACAATACAAGATGGAGGGACCTCTGTACAGTCTTGCCCTGTCACAGAGCTTGTGTGTGTAAAGTGGTGCCTGGAGGAGATGCAGATGAATGTTTTACACAGTTGCAGTGTTGGGACAGTGTGCTTGGTGACTTTGGTGCGTTCAACCTAAAAAAGGGTGTGCAGAGGGATGTGGAATTATAGTTCATGTGGGCGTGTCTGAGTAGTTTGTATTCATTTGCACGTGGAGTGTGCTTGCACGCCTGCTTATGTTTTAGTGTGCGTGCCTACATGCATTTTTGCGTGCTTGTGTGGATTCCACTGTGGTGTGGGGAGAGAACTCTCCTTGTCCATGCCTGCGTGATTGGTAGGGAGGGGAAAACCACCAGAAAGACCAACCCAAAGCAAGAGTTGGGGAGTGAAACTGCACATGCCTCTGTAACTCATCTGAGCGACATTTGCTGACTTCTGGAAGTCATGGTTCTTATTCTCAGTTTTTTATTTGTTTTCTTTCTTCAGGTTTTGGGCAGAAGAGTGACATGAACCCATGGTAAATCTGAGTAAACTTTTTATTGTCCTCTTCAGTTGCATACGGTTTGCATATGACCTTAGAGTTTATATAGTGGCTATTCATAGTTCCCAAGTTGTGACTTAGAGAGGAGAGGGATAGACCCAACTAAGTTACTTTATTTGCTGCTGTAGTGTCTTTTGATTGTGTGAGAGAAGATATGGAAGAGGTGACCCTCCTGTTATCTAGTCTTTGTTTTAGACTGTCCTTAACTTGATATGGCTTTGAGGTTAGGTATGCTACTTCTGTGAGACAGGATGCCCTCAGAATGAGAGGATTGTGAAAAACGGTGACAACCACCCTCTAGAGTAAGCTTACAGGAGGATTTCTCTGGACTTCAAGTACAGAATTACACTGTACAAGGCACCTGCATATACTCTCTTCTATTCTATCCTGGGATATTCTTAGTATTAGAGAGTATTGGTCAGCTGCTTGCCAAGTAAGGTTATGATACTACACAATGTGTAGGTAGTATAAAGACTTTGAACACAAGGTTGAGACTTTATCAGATAAATGACTACTTGGAGACCAGCTGACTTCAGACCCCATCTTTACCACTGAACCTAAGCAGTATCGTTAATGTTCCTGTGCCTCATTTTTTACACTCACAAAATTAGAAGTGTAAATAAGATCATAATCATCTCCCTGTGCGTGGGAAGCCTATAATAAATAGCACCACATCTAGGTATATGCATTCATGTCTAGAGTGATCCCTTTATATTCTAGGAGAACTGATTCCAGGATCTTCATTTATACAAAAGAACACAGAAATTCTTTAAACTCAAGTTCCTTATACTAGGTCTTATTAAGCTTTCCACTTGTAGGACTGGGGAGGTGACTCAGTGGTTAAGAGTACTTTTTGCAAGCAGACGCTGAGACCTATGACCAACTGTTGGGCACAGTGCATGGAATCTTATGAATTAAGTGGGAAATAGTAATATCTGGAGAGGACAGGAACCCCACAAGGAGAGCAACAGAACCAGAAAATTTGAACATAGGGATCTTCCCAGAGACTCATACTCCAACCAAGTACCAAGCATAGAGATAACCTAGAACCCCTGCACAGATGTAGCCCATGGCAGTTTAGTGTCCAAGTGGGTTCCATAGTAATGGGAAGAGGGACTGCCTCTGACATAATCTGATAGGCCTGCTCTTTGATCATCTCCCCCTGAGGGGGGAGCAGCCTTACCAGGCCACAGAAGAGGACAATGCAGCCACTTTTGATGAGAACTGATAGACTAAGATCAGAAAGGAGAGGAGAACCTCCCCTATCAGTGGACTTGGGGAGTGGCATGCATGAAGAAGGAGGAGGGAGGGGAGGAAGGAGGGGCTTATGGGGGTATACAAAGTGAATAAAGTGTAATTAATAAAATTAAATTTAAAAAAAGACCCAATCTGGGGAAAAAAAAAAAAAGAGTACTTGTTGCTCTTGCAAAGGACCCAGGTTTGATTCCCAGGAGCACGTGGTGGTTCAAACTTTCTGTAAACTCCAGTTTAGGGGATTCCATATACTCTTCTGACCTCTGCAGGCACTGAACATGCATGTGGTGTACAGCTATACATACAAGTAAAACATCCATATACATAAAATAAATCTAAGTAAAGTAAATCTAAATAAAATTTAGAGCCCAAAATCCTTTTCCCACTTTTGATTTTTTTTTTTTTGCCCAAGGAACTTTGATGATACTCCAGGTACACCTATGTAGATAGGTGTACAATGCAAAAATGTAGATAATAATAAAGAAATTTATTCTATGAGAATTTTTTGGTATACATATGACTTTCACTTATTAAAAAAAAAGCAAATCAGCATATTGGTTGGATGTGCTTTATTACATACAAAACTAAATATATTGCATGAAATAGAACATCTACAATTTTCAGAGGTGAACGATAACTATATGATTGTCAATGCTGAGAACCCTGCTTTGTATGAAAGTGGAGTACAAAACAACACAAATATATTTAGTAATTTCCAAAAATTTCTTGGAAATTCTGCCCTAATCCTAAGCCAAAATTTACTTGATTCTTTTTTTTTTTTAATTTAAGTCAGCAACTCAAATAGCAATTTAAAAATGGAACATCCTAACACAATACAGAGTATTCAATACATGCTGCAGAATGACAGTAGGAGGATATTAAAAGCCTTTTTTCCTCTTAATTAAATCATTATGTCTCTAAAAAAAGCAGAGAACTTTGTAAAGTAAAGCACTACAATTCCTAATATGTAGCAATCTGAGCTCGTGACAGCATGCCCAGTGCAAAGTGCACATATGTGTTCAGAGCTAAGGCTTCAGTGAAACTGGGTGGTAGAGAATATTGCCAGAAGCACCTTGGCTTTATTTAAAATTTATTTTTGGCCTGGTATGGTGACACACACCTGTAATCCCAGCATTCAAGGAGGCAAAGGAGGTGAATGTCTGTGAGTTCAAGGATAGCCTGGTCTACAAAGTGAGTCCAAAACAGCCAAGGCAACACAGAGAAACCTTGTCTTGAAAAACAAGAAAAAAAACATTTAAATTTTGAATCAAATTTTGGTTATTGTACATCTAGAAACCTTATATTTGTCACCAAATATTTTATGATCTCCACAATCAGGTGGCATTTCTTTCTTTTTTAATTAACTTATTTACTTACTCACTTTACATCCCAATTGTAGCCCCTCCCTCTTCTACTCCCAGTCCAATCCTCCCTCTCCCCCAATCCCCTATTCCTCAGATAAGGGGAGCTCCCTACCCAGCTCATTAAGTCATATCAGGGCTGAGTATGTTTTCACCTGTGGCCTTGTGAGGCAACCCCCCTGGGCCCTGGTTAGTTGGCTCTGGTGGTCCTTTTGTGGAGCTCCTGTCACCTCCAAGTCCTTCTATCCTTCCCCGACTTTTCCACAACACCTCCTATGCTTTTCCTACTGTTTGGGTGTGAGTCTCAGCATCTGTTTCAATCTGCTGCTGGGGGGAGCCTCTAAGTGTCAGGGGTTGGCTCTTTCCCATCGGGTGGGTCAACCTAGATGTCCCTCAAAGAATGAATAAAGAAACTGGTATATTTACACAGTGGAATCCTACTCAGCTATTAAAAACAATGAAATCATGGAATTTGCAGGCAAATGTATGGAACTAGAAAGTATCATTTTGAGTGAGGTAACCCAGACCCAGAAAGACACACATATGTACTCAACTTATAAGCAGATTTTAACCATATAGTACAAGATAGACATACTTCAATACACAGATCCAAAGAAAAGAAACAAAGAGGACCCAGGAGGCATTTTTTTTAGCTTAAGATGTGTTTTGAGAGAATTTTGTTCAGAAACACCCGTGGATATAAAACTCTTTGGATATTTAAGCCTCTTATCAAATGTAACTTACAGTACAGACTATGCACATACTCACAAGATACTTCTTTGTTTGTTGAAACAAGGTCTTAACTATGTAACCTTGGCTACCCTGGAGCTAACTGGACAAGACTGACTTTGAACTCACAGATGTCTGCCTGCTTCTGCTTTCCAAGTGCTGAGATTTAAAGGTATGTGCCACCACACCTGGTATCAAAATATACTTAAATCATCTCTAGATTAATTTCATGTGATACTATATAAAGGCTGTATTACTAGTTGTTATACCACATTGTTCAGGTAATAATAGCAAGGAAAAAGTCTATACTTACTCAGTTCAAGTTTTTCTCAATTTTTGGTTCTCAAATGTACAAATGGGGAACCAACAATAAGGGCTATTCCGTGTGTGTGTGTGTGTGTGTGTGTGTGTGTGTGTGTGTGTGTGTGCGTGTGTTGTAAGGGTATTAAGCATTTTATTCTGGATAGAAGATATTAAAGTGATTTCCTTTTGGTTTACTTTTAGGGATATCATGTGCTAGTCTCATCCATCTTGTAAAGTCATATACTGGAAGTGAGTGGGTCTTCATTTTGAATTACAAAGTTCAGTTCCACCATCAGTTCATCTGTTTTGCAAAGCTTCCAAGTCTTTGCCTTCTTTCCTTTCATTTGTCCCTTGATAACACCCTGTTTCACCACTCTCTCACTTGTGTGATCTTGTACACATTATTTCACAACCCTTTTCCCCGCCAGATGTGGTGATACATGCCTGTATTCCTAGCACTAAAGCGGCTGACATAGGCTGATGATTTTGAAAGAAGATCTCACTGTATAGTCTAATCTGGCTTCAAAATCATCAGCCTATGTCAGCCGCTTTAGTGCTAGGAATACAGGCATGTATCACCACATCTGGCGGGGAAAAGGGTTGTGAATATTTCATCTGGTTTTGTGAGGAGTAGCAGCAATACATATAGGCAGAGAGACCTGGAGTAGCTATACCATAAGTTCTAGATTAAAAAAGATAAATGTATAGCCAGGTATGATGAAGCACACCTTTAATACCAGCACTTGGGAGGCAGAGTAAGGAGAACCTCTGATTTCAAGACCAGCCAGTTCTACATGGTGAGTCCTAGGATAACCAGAGCTACATAAAAGGATCCTGTCTCAGAAAAAGGCAAATATGACTGAGGATGTAGCTCAGTGGTAGAGCCCATGCTTAGCATTTGTGATGCTCAAGGTTCAACCCCCAGCATGAACATTCACAGAAAAGGAGCAAAGACAGTGCTATATCCTGGGGCACATGCCTGTAATTCCAGCACTGAGGAGGCTGAGGCAGTAGAATAAGCTCTTGGCTAGCCAAAACTATCTAGTAAAATTTTGCCTCATGAAAAACGCAACCATCTCCTTCCATTTAAAGATGGTAAGGATAGTGTATGTCAGGGTTCTTTAGAGGAACAGAACCAATGGAATGAATATGAATATATACATATTAATTTGTTACTTCAGCTTGTATTAAAATAGCAACAACAGCTGTATCACTCAAGAGGCTGAGAACCTGGTAGTTGCTCTGTCCTTGATGGTGGTGTCTCAGAAGTTGGAGTTGCCCCCATAGTTGCTGTCTCTCATTGAGGGTGCTTACAGCCTCAGTCCTCAGTCTACCAGGCACCAAAAACCTGGAATGTTTCTGGAGATCCACTGGTCCTTAGTTCACAACAGAAGCCTGGAATCTTAGGATTACTAGTGCTTTGATGAAACACTACTACCAAAAGCAACTTGGGGATGAAGGGACTTATTTGGCTTATACTTCTATAGCAAAGGAAGTCAAGGCAGGAAATCAAAACAGGAATCTGGAGGCAAGAACTGGTACAGAGGCCATGAAAGAATACTGCTGTCTTGCTCAGCTGCTTTCTTAATAGCATCCAGGGTCATTAGGTACACAGTAGCACTGCCCACCATGAACTGAGCCCTCCCATATCAACTGTGAATCAGGAAAAATGTTCCAAAGTCCTGCCTACAGAATGTGTCATTCTGTATCTAGTAGTAGTCTGGGCTGTCCCAGGTATGGCTGTTGGGTGTGGCTGTCTTACTCTTTCTCTGGCTCCCAGGATGCTGGGTGTGAAATGGAAGATGTGCTTATTTTTCCCCTCAGGCTGGTCCAGGTGCTGTTTGCTTCCAGACAGGAACAGGGGAACCCCCAGGTTTTGTTTCTCTCGAGTTTTGTTTCTCTCGAGAACAATTAGAGCGATCAGGTAGAGCCCATGCACTAGGTAAGGCTCCCATTTCACCGGAGGAGGTGGAAATGAGTTTTTCACTGGGTAAAACACTTAGCTCTTTTAAAAAGAGATTGCTGGTACCAGACGGCAGTGGAAACATGGGTGTTCCGAAAGCCTGTGATCATACCTCACACAGGCTTTTACAGTATTCCAGCCCTCAGGTGAAGCCATTGTATTATTGGCAAGGGTGTGGGTGAAAGCTTGAAACCAGCCAGAAGGCAGGCTGATGAGGCAGTTCCAAATGCCAGTGAACAGCAAAAGCTCAAGGCAGCAAAAGCACTGTGGCTGACTGACCAGCAGTCAAGCCCTGGGCAGTCCAGAAGCTCATAGAAGCCACGTGGGTGGCTGCCTAATTGGCAGCCAAGCTTGGGGCATTCAGTACCAATTTTTCAGGGAGCCTCAGGGAGTTTCAGGTGGTCTTGGTGGAGGAGTGGAATGAGATAGAGTGTAGTTTGTGAATCAGGAACTTATAACCCTTGGGAAGTGGGATGAGTTTTGTGGATGAATGTGTTTGATTCGATGGTACTAGGTGTGTCAGGGATACTTGACTTACACATAACAACATTAGAGGTGGAAAACAGTACTTAATTATTCTATGGGTGGGAGATGAACTCTAGGTACAGTTATAGGTCATTGTTTGAAAGCCAAGACACCAAGACATTTCATTAGCATAGGGTAAGTGTTTCCAGGATTCCCCGGGTACTTATTAAATGGGTTTCTTATCAGGAAAGGGTTGAGTTTATAATCTCCCTGAGGGCTCTGTGACACTTAGAAGATCTGGGCTTCACCAGATCAGACAGAGAGGGAACAGAACTGAGAAAAGGAGTCTTTCATCTTGTACCTAGCTTAGGGGCTATCCAGAAATGTCAGACTTCAACCTGAATAGCCAGGTTCTACAAGCCTGATCTTTTTTTATTATAATATTTTTATTAATTACAGTTTATTCCCTTTGTATCCCACCTGTAACTCCCTCCCTTTTTCCCTCCCAATCTCATCCTCCCTCCCTCTTCTCCATGCCCCTCCCACAGTCCACTGATGGGGGAGGTCCTCCTCCCCTTCCATCAGATCCTAGTCTATCAGGTCTCATCAGGAGTGACTGCAATGTCTTCCTCTGTGGCCTGATAAGGCTGTACCTGATCTTATGGAGGCCTTTTCTTAGTTTAGGTTCCCTCCTTTTAGATAACTTTAGTTTGTGTCTAGTTGACATAAAACTAGCTGGGACACTTGGAAATTCTGGATCTATTAACAGGGAAGGAATCATCATCGGTAGCAATAGGGTAGATTAACTTGGTGGAGGAGAGATTATGAACAAATTACTTTGGCTTGATTTGTTTTTATTTTTTTAATTATTATATAAAACATGTTTCCTTATAGCATTTTATACATATGTAAGTTTTAATTGACCTCTCTGCTTCTATTTGTCTCCACTGTATTCATGTTAAAGCATTTTTAAATTTAAAAGTTTTATTTTATGTGCATGAGTGTTTTGCCTGCATGTATGTCTCTGTACCATGTACCTGCTTGGTGCCCAAACAGACCAGAAGAGAGTGTTAATATTCTGGAACTGGACTTATGGATGGTTTTAAACCGCCATGTGGGTGCTGGGAATCAAACCTCAATCCTCTGCAAGAGCAGCCAGTGTTCTTAACCACTCAGCTGTTTCTCTAACTCCTTCATTCATTTTAAAATCTTTTAAAACCTAAAAGTGCTTCATCTTTTTTAATCCATTGCCATTGGCTTGTTGAAGAAGTCTGGAGTTTGATCTATAGGTTTATTGTAGTACAAGAATTGCCACACAAACCACTCAGACTCTGGTCTCAGTTAGATATGGATTGTTTATTGGACGCCTCTTCCAAGCTGATTATAATCAGGACCACAGAAGGACTCAGGAGCCTGACTGTGACATCGACCCATTTTCCAGGGTCAGGTTATAAAGGCAAAAACCGCAGTTAGCTCATACGGATGGTGATAGAGGGTAGTCAGTTCTGACTCAAGTTATTTTTGCTAACTAGACAAGCAGTTCTAGCTGCCCCTTAATTTGATTGGTCCCAAGTAAAGTTTATTGTTAGAATTAGCTGTGCTTATGGTTGAGGAATTTCTAGGAACAACAAGGCCACAAAGTATGTTGAACATAAACATAGTTTTTTGTCAGCCTGACCTTCCTTGTTCAGGGGACTTTTACATCAGCAACAAGTTGAGATGATGTGGCTGGTGGCCCTGAAACAAAAATGGCTATACTTATGCTAAAAGGCCCAGGTCTCAACAGGTTATCCTATGTTCTTGATTTGGCTGAGTGCTTCATCACGTTATTTTACTTGTATTTCATATAGTCTAGAAACAGTCTTGAGATTCAGGTTTTTTGTTATTATTTTATAGTTTATTATAGTTTTGGTTTCTTTAAAAACTGTTATGTTATGTAAATATGTTTTTGTTTTAATCCCAGTGTATTATTTTAGTTTGGACTTTTTGTCCACAGTTGATAATTGCCTTCTTGAGGGCATGGTCTTTGCCAGCTGGTAATGCCCTGCCCCATGCAGCACAAAGAGGGATGTGGTCTAGGGCTCTGAGGATATAAATATGAAAGTTCACAAAAAGAGATGTGGCAGTTTGGAGAGATCAAAGACAGATGATGTGGCCATTTGGAAAGATGGAGGAGAGATGCTTCATGGCAAAGTGGCATAGAGGAAATAGACTGAGGAGACTGCTTGCTGTGTTTGCTGTTGACAGTGTTTGTATAGCCCCCAAAAAAACTCATTGTCCCTAAACAGCTGGGAGAAGTAGAGGAGTCTGCATCCTCTCTCCCCACTAACCTTCTCTCTCTTACCTAAGGTTAAAGGGTTGGTGGAAGGGAGGTAGAGACCTAAACACCCCAAATAAAATAGAGTTTATGAATGAGCACAACAGTTTATAGTTGAAGCTCA